AAATTAAAGTTAACATTAATATTTCAAATATTCAAACATGTATCCTTCTTGTTGTTGTAAGGTGCCATCTAGTAGGTTCCAATTCATAGAGAACATATGCACAACACAATGAAATGCTGCTTGGTCCTGAGCCATCCTCACAACTGCTATGTTTGAGCCCACTGGTGTGGTCACTGTGCCAATCCATCTTGTTCACTGAACCTCCACTTTAACAAGCATGATGCCCTTCAATGCCTAACACACAGTAGACTCCTAAGACAGTTTTGAATGGATATACTGATATGTGAATAAAGGTCACAGGCTGGGTTTTCACGTGAAATACAGCAATACTGGTGCTGACAGTTGTCCTATGAGTGATGATTAATGCTTAGCCAAAAATTGAAGAAACATGTCATTTCGGTACAAAAGGTATGGGAAAAAAAATAACACTAAGTGTTAGTTGTCAAAAAAATGTATCTAAGATAATGGATAGAATTTTTAAATTATTGCTCTATGCTCATTTATAATATAAAAAGAAACTAAATGAAAACTAAACACATAAGATTTATTAAATACTTATAGAAATGACTCAAGTTTCAGAGAATCAGCATGGTTAAATATTAAGCTACATGAGAGGAAGGGCAGATTTCTTTTTTCTTTTAATTTGTTTTATCAGTTTCCAAAAAAGAGAAAACCACCTCAGATACATAAATGTTTGTAGAAAAAGGAAAACTGAAAAATCATTTTCTTAATATTATTTTTAGATACTATGTTGAAATTTAACTTTGTTTTAAATTACATTCTGCTGTTTGAAAATAAAAGTAACAATTTTCATTCACTTTACATAGGATTCGGGCTTGGACATACTTTTTCACTAAGTGAGAGATGAAATAGAAAACAGTAAGTGATTTAAAAATATGAAAACTATTTGGTGTATGTTCATGTGTGTTTGCATGCTCGTGTATGTTTTTGTGTCTATGTGTGTGCATGTTGGTTAAAAAAAACAACAACATTCTATCAGGTTAATCTCCCAGGAATGTTCTACATACACATTTTTAGAAGGAAGACATTAAGCTGGCAGAAGTACTGACTGACCTTTTACATACGGTACTTTAAACAAATAAACAAAAGGAAGCTATCCCTGAATCAGACTAAATATATATTTATCCAGTGCTTAAATTCAATTTCTAAAACTTCAGCATCAAAATGAAATGTTTTCATGTAAAGTACAATGTTTCTTTTTTTCACTCCCAGTTTATCTCCCAAATCCATAGCCTCAAGGTTTTCATGACTATAGGTTTTCTTGTCCTCAAGTCAGACTGTGTTCTCTCCTCAGAAAACAATAACCAACTCATTTCACCACATCCACTGAAAAAAGCAAAAATAACAACAAAATAGCCAACCTCAAATCTATAATGAGCTAACCATTTCTTTTTTTTTTTTTTTTTTACTAAAATAAACAAACACATGGTATGGTACAAAGAACTTAATAAATGCATGTCGATCTGTTTGGGCAGATTTATGATAGGAAAGCAATAATAGAAATAAAGGTATGAGTTGTAAATCAAACCACATGCTCACTTATGGAATTTCTGCAGCTGGAGAAAACCTTGCAAACAGTATCAAAGAAAACATTACTGTGCCTACCCTCCCCACCTCCCCCACATAAAAATTCAAAAAAGGATTGATTTAAATAAACCAACATTTACTTTTATAAACTTATCATTAGGAAGGGACAAAGACTTGAGCAAATCAGAACTCTTGGGTGAGTAAACAGTATTTTGACTTTAAGCTCTAGAGATACTGACTCCTTCATCTCATGTGTCAAATGAGGAGTCTGGGAAAGCTAATCCTTTCTCATTCTCAGAATCCAACTGGGTATTTGTTTAACAAGTGATGGAGAAACTTCTCAAAGGTTAGCCAAGCACTCCTGTAAATGTCCAGTAGTAGCTTCCTCTTCAAGCAGTGCTCCTGGACTCTACTCTTTAGTGATCATCTATTTGTACACAGGGTAGATTTTCTGGGGAGCATAACATTTACGGGTCCTGTAGTCATACTTGCCACTAGACTATTTTATTATACTAAATAAAACAATGGGACGCCTGGTGTGGTGCTGTAGATCAACACTGTACTGTGAACCACATGGTCGGCTGTTCAAACCCACCAGCTGCTCCTTGGAAACCATGCCATGAGTCAGAACTGACTCTTCGGCAGTTAGCAACAAGAAGCAAAAACAATGTACAGCAAAATGCATTCCTTTAATTCTATACTAAAAGTTCTTACATAAACAAATGAAAACTCCATGGAGTATAGAAATACGTCTAACACTTAGCATTGCTTGGTGTTAGGTCACAATTGTATGGTTGCTATTGTTATGTGCCGCTGAGTCGATTCTGACCCATAGTGACCTTGTATAGGGTTTCCAAAGAGTGGTTGTTGAGCTTGAACTGCCGACCTTAAGGTTCAAACCGACTTTGCAGTCCAGCACATTAACCCACAGTGTCACATAAGAACCAAGGAATTCATTATTTGCTAGGCATATTTTACTGAGCATCTTCATCACCAAATCTTAACCAGAGGAGAAACAAAGAGTAGTTTTGTCACGCTCAGCATATATTTGGGGCTTAGGCCTTAGGGAGTCTGCATTTCTCATCTTTAACTAATAACTTTTGAGGGAAGAAAAAATAATAAAGCAAATGGAAAATAGTTCATAATTAGAACATTCTGAGTTGAGCATGATATTCATGGATTTGTTCTAAAGAAAGGAGTAGAAGGAGATGATGCAGCAAAATACAATTCCCTCATTTGGAGACTAGGTGAACGTTTGCTCATAATATTAAATATTAAATTAATTTCAAATAATTACTGCCACAGCTAATCTATGCATAATTTTTTCCCCAAAAGCTTTTTTTTTTTTTTAAACAAAGGAAGATTATAATTACAACTGATGTTGAAGTTACAGCCCGGCTCCATCACTTACATCATTACAGCGGGATCTCCAGCTACATGTGGCCTCATGTTTCTTCTGAAGGCCTCTCTACAGAAATACAACAATGTATGACTCCAAAAGCAAGTCCCACATTTTATTTTGCCATTCTGTTTAATGTTATAATCGTTTGTATTCAATTCATTTCCCATGATACCATTAAATAAACTCACAATTATATTCTGTAATCTACAGTGAGGTGCCGTTTATTGGGTGACTGGTAATGCTGATGTCATTTAACAATTAGTTCTCAATGCCTGTATCAATATATATTTGTACTAAGATCCTTTTCTCCAGCTCATAGTTAATGTCTTAAGTCTTTGCTTAAATTTATTATCAAGATCAATGGATATTTAGTAACATGAAGATTTATGAGATTCCTATACTGGGTGTTTGTATGTTGCAACTCTGAATCCAAAACCAAAAACAAGTTTATTTCTAGGACATTTCAAATGCCAAGTAACCAAGTAACATGTTCTCTGGAATTATCTATAAAACCCGAAATTCCAGATGTAAGAGTCACTCAGTTTCATTATATCAGCCTATTGATTTAACTGTGCTTAATTAATTTAAATTACTTGTATTCAATGGTTATAAATTCACAACCTCTCTACTCTGAGGGTGAGACTGGAAGGACAGGAGTAGATAAGCTGAAGACTTAACAGAAATGACAAAAAGTATTTTGCTCTGAATTTCAAGAAATGGACGCTTAAAAATACGAAGAGTATTTTACCTGTGACTACAGCTTGCTTTAGGGTAAACAGAAAGTCATCATTAATTCTAAACTTAATTAATTTGCTCTATTTGAAAATTGCTACCAAATAGCAAAGTAAAGCTATAGGAATCAACTATGACAAACCTTAAATGCGTGGAGTTTCCATGAAAAACAAGCACAAAAGCCCACTACATGCTTCCTTTCAAAGGTATCCAGTATCTTAATAAATCTCATGTTAGAAGATATTCAGAGAATAGGGCCTTATCTCAATTTCAGAAATGTTTACAGCAGAGCCATACAGTTCAAATTCAACTTACTGACAAACTAAGACTCAGAATTACATATTAAACTCCAAAACAAAAACTTAAAAATTCAGTAAAAATCTAGCTAGACCAGCACTTTACCGTATCATGGAATGTGCCAATGATGGACTTGGGCCGGCCCTCAGGGACAGCAGGATTGTAATACACTTATTTGGTGACCACCCAAGCAGCCATTAAGAGCAGGTTCACAGAACCCTCTTTCTGTTTTCTTTATTTGGCATCGGCTAAGAATTACCAAAACGATGTTTTTTGGTTTTACATTTAGAAACAGTACCTGTCTCTACCTAGAAGTTTGGTTGCCCTCCACCAAAATTCACTCTAATCAAGGAGAATGCTGAATCTATGACTTGTTTCAAAAATATACGATGGTATACTTAATAAACAGCTCAGAAAACCAAAACATTTTGCTTTAAACAAGGTAAAGCAATGCTTCTTAAATGGTTTCAAAATCCTGAACAAACCATAACCATTCAACCTTTAACTGTAGGTCACAGACTTATATTCTATCTATCATTATTTTTACTAAATGTTTCATTTCCATTTTTTGTAATCAACGCAGTATACTAGAATGCTCCTCTTAACTTACTCAGATAGCATGATGATGTTTCATACCCTAACACACTGTCCAGCCCCCACTCAACCCAGCTTTGGGGAAGATATACCATATTCATTGCTTCTTAAACAAAGGTGCTCAGGAGAAGCTAAGTACCATGCTCTGGGCACTCAGAAGCGGCATCTAAAAACTAGAGTAGTCTTCTACTAAACTGTTTTCTCTGTAAACAGTCCTTGGTTCTTTCCCCCAAGAGAGAAAAAGCGTAAAGGCACTGTTCAGAATGAATTGAGCATATTTTAAAAGGTCATCAGTGGTCAAGTCACTTTGCATTTTTGGCAGATTGTTGCCTCAGATACTAGTTGCTTGAGGCTGTGGAGCCCCACCAAATCTCAAATCAGGGTTGCCCATAATGTTTTATTATTTATTACATGCTATGCTAAGTACCTGTGAAAGGGGGCACTCCTTGGCCAACGAACTCTGATTCATATCTTTCAGTAAGTCCTTCAGAGCGTTCCTTACTGTGGTGTGTGACCATTGTTCGGGAGGCAAGTCTTCTAGTTTGGGGCAACTATTTGAGACATAGATTAGAAAGGGGATTATTACAAGATTGCATCCCGCTGCAGAACATTCCTTTAAGACAGACAGATTTCATTTTGCGCATCAAACAGATGCATCTGGAGATTGCTCTCGGTCTCCTGATTGTTCCGATTAGTTAATTACTTTATACAACACATCTGCTGTATCGATGCATGAATTATACATCAGCTGCCTGTGGTGGCTATTTTTTCATGTTACTTCTACCTTCCTGCTCTGATGCGCTTGGGAAGACAATTTAAGGTGTACTGCTTTCTCGCGATCCACAGTGGAAAGCATGAACGGATTAACTGTTTTCCTTTTCATTACTTTGTTCATATGAATCAAAAGGTTAAAAAATATATCTAAATAAAGGAGATTTTGCGGCAGTGGTGAAGAAGGCATTCTTTCACAAAATGTACACAGATGGTACTGTTCATGATATGCAAAAATATTTTTCTCTTAAGTAAACTTTATGTAAAATGCCTTCTTGTAATGCATCATTTAATTGACTGAGTGGAGAAAGCGTTGTCTTGTGATAACCTTCATGAGCCTACAAATTTGGGGGAGGGGAGGAGTTGCGTTTCAGTTGTAGACTGAAGAGCTGGGGAAAAAAACAGCACAAGGAGTGAAGCAATAAAATCAATTTGGATAAACCATTCTCAAACACAGGGTGAACAAAAGTTTACAGTTAGCCAGAGATGCTTTCTTTCAAAAGGTGTAGATCTTTACACCCTTGGAACTGCTTTCTTGACTCACCTGTGTAACTGAATTTTCAATGTGACCACATGATACACGTCTTGAAGCATATCTGCTACTGTGGCATCAGGAGCATCTGTCACATAAGACAGTGGAACTGGATTCCATTTCCCGACCTGGATTAGCCCTATTCCAGATAAAGAGAGTATGTCACTAAATAGTTTACCCTGAAGATAACAATCTGGTAAAAAGTTGTTGGGTTTGTGTTTTTCTTTTTCTTTTTTGTTCATGGCCCCCATATCACGAGCCATACTGTTATTTATGTTTGAATGATTCCCTTCTCTCTAAAAGGCAGGTCAATGAAAATATTCACAGTTTCACTCTCCAAATTGTAAAATTATGTAAATGACTATAGTGTTGTTTATTATTTCGGAAATAAAAACCCATCAATAAAACCTATGCATAAGGCCACATTTTCCTTACTTACAGGAAGTTCTAATAAGACATAGCTGAACTAGTTCTAAATGGCTTTACGATTTAGATAAGATTCTCTATTGCAGTGGGAATCAGCATTGAAAAATACTTTACAGCCCATAAAACCATCAGAAACAGAATAAAAGAAACAGAACTAGATATTCAGTCATAAATGCAAATTGACTCTCAACAGTCCATCTGCTCAAATACGCTCCTCACTTCCTTGTGGGTCCTCAGTGGAGCAGATTATTAAGGTCAATAAGCATACTAATGATTCAGCTGAAGTAATTTAAAAAAAAAAATCTACCTCGACATTCCACATGAGCAAAATGTGTGTTAACTAAACCAAACTGAATTAAGCCCATATTTTAAAACTACCATCTATAAAAAACCAATGTAAAACATGGGCTTTGAATAAAAATCTTTAGTGCTTTCTCTGGCAAGGTAAACAAAGGATGGCAAGCAATTTTTCCAACTCCACACATGCATTATTTACCTTTGGCTTGGGCAGCGGAGCTATGCGAGTAACCCAGAGACAGCAATGCCATTTCTATCAGCTGGTTGAAAAGCATATCCTTTCTCACCAACACAAATTCGGCATGCTCCTCCTTACAATCATATTCAATGGCATTTTCATAATGTTCCACTACGCAGAAGACTGGTAGCATAGTTCCTATCAAAAAGATAGGGAGAAAAAAAAAAGAGAGCGAGATGCAAACCAACAGTTTCCAGAGATACAGTCTAGGTTAGGGGGAACTAAGCCATAAAAATAAATCTTCACAACAGTGAAAGGGAGATTCTGATTCTATGGCAGACAGGGCATAGCAATAGAGGCATACAAACACAAATAAAATATATACAGTCTCTCCTTTTTTATTTTTAAAGTTCTAAGAGAAATATTTAAGTAGAAGGTGAACTTGGACCTAAGATAACTTGGACAGTGCTCTCACTTTAACAGTGTAGCTTCCCAAATCAAGAAATGCTGAATTACCTTTCTGATCAAATAACAATGCTGATAAGAGAGAAGTGTGTCTTGTCTGATGTGCTTTGAGTGTATACAAAGCAACCCATTCCAGCTGTCTTCACAGGAAACCACCTTCCTACTTCCTACACAACGGTGTTAATATTAAACTTTTCCTGTTTGGGTCCAATTCTCAAATTGCCTTTGACTATAAAATTATCATCATCCTCTTCTTCTTTTAGATGACTCTAACTAGTTTCATTAGGAAAAAAAAATGCAAAACTGAATCAACTGATGCTAATAAGAGATCCCTCGATATGTGTAGGAAGCAGATCAATAGGATTTATTTTTATGGCTACTCAGTCTACCCAACTAAAAAGATTTAACAGTAACCACTTCTTTAAAATGTACTATACTTGTTATAGTAAATGGTAGAAAAAGGAGAGAGAGAAGAGAAAACTAGACTCATTAGGACATATTAGGATAAAGAAATCTGAGAAGATTTGATATGTTCTCTCCTTTATTTACTTTAATCCAATGTAGTAACTCAGTATCAAGATGATAAATAAACATAGAACAGACCACTGCCAGAAAAGAGGCTTCTTCGAGAAACTGAAATCGCAGAATGCCGTGATACTCAAGGTGTTTACCCAGTGTACTGTCAGACTTCCAATGATAAACGGAAAAGGGTTAAAAGCAGATGCATTTGAGCTGTATTGTGGCAAACTGCCAGGAGGGTATCATCTTTAGCATAAATGATGACAAGGGTTACTTTAACAGGGCACCCAGGATCCCCAATTAGTCCTACAACATTAATGCCTCTATAAGCTCTGCCCTCTGGACTCAGAGAATCCCACCAACTTCCAAAGATGCCTAGTGCATACCAACCACAGCTAAAAATCAGGATTTCCTACTGACACGAGAGATGCCCTTTAAAAATTCTCTATCGCTTATTTCTGCTGAACAAAAGCTGGCAATGAAACAGCTACATTTTTCAACATGTGCATCTTCACCAAAGCTTTAGTGAACTGTTCACAAGAGATTCCAGCTTTGACAAATAAACCCCTTTAGGTTTACTTAGAAAAGCTCACAAACTCATTCGGAGGTACCCAACAGGCTAGGCATGAAAAACAAGCTGCAGAGCTTGCCAATATTCTTGTCATTCATTCAGCTGTTTTATACCAGAGAGAGGACCTGTCAGGGATCAGAAGACGACTTGGGGAGACCACAGCAAAGACAGCAATATGCAAACTGGTGATTTCTTCCTTGGCTTAAAGGTACTGTGGCAAAATCTGCTACACAAATCAACAAAAACACTCAATCCCTTTTTCTTAGTAATGCTTTCTCTTCTCAGTCACAATTTTTATCTAGCACCTTTCAAACAGAAACCAGGCAAGTGAAAAATACGATGAGGCGGGGGAACCCACCAAAAGGTTTTTTAGTAGTTTTGCTATTTGTAGTAAGCTGAGAGAAGCTTCAGCAATTAAGCTGCATTTAAAAAATAAGTTAGTATGAATGCAATACTTTAAAAAAAAAAACAAAAAAAAGGGCATTTGAACAGGAAGTGAAATTACTGTACACTGGTTTCTCCTCCCCCTGTCCTGATAGCTTCAAAGAGTTGGGTGAGTACAACAAAAACATAGGCATTGATTTTTCCTCTTATAAGGATGAACAAGCGTGTTTACTACATGCTGCTCCTTAGCCTTTTGAAGTAATTGTAGGCTTTCTGAACTAATGAAATATATTGGATTTATTTTGGACTTGATTGATCAAGCTTAGATGTACCCTGTAGATAATAAAGGTAACTATTGATAAAGTGACAATAGTATCGTCTAATTACGAAGCTAGCTGCTAAATCTTCAAGCAAACTGTCACGGTTGCCCTCCTGTTACTGGGGGGTAATGCTGAACAGGAGCCTTCTCTGAACTGTCTGATGATTCGTGCTAGTGTTTGGCAAGACTTCCAACTAAAGCAACTTCATAACCTTCCAGCATTAAAAGGGGAGTGCACTGGTCACTGCTAAATGCTAAAAATATCACATGATTTAAACCTGAAGGCAGTCTTAGAAGCTTTTGCTGAAGGTTTATGAGCCTGTGTAAACAGCACGTCTGACATAAGGAGCAGTGAAGTCTGTAGAATCCTTGTCTAAAACTGTCCTGGCATTAAAGTTTGCTGTGCAAATATCACGTAATACCAGAGACAGCTGAAATCTCCTATTTAGGAATTTATGGAACTTATATGTTTGCAGGCGTCAGAAAGTCTTTTTTATAGAGCCCCAGTGCTTCACAGTACAATATTAATGCACTCTGTTTGAAAAGCCATAATAAATTATATTTTTAATGCTCTTACCCTGGCTTTCTTAAGATGCATACATTCTTGGCAAACAATCAATAAATAGGGTAATCATGAGTAGAGGCCAAAGAATTTGCTGAAGTGCTGTTTTTCCATTTTTAATAGATAAAGATCTAACAATACAGACCGCTGTGTCTGTTCATTTCAGGATCAATATATTCTTTGTTTTCGCCAAACCAAGGAAAAAATAAATGATTGTATGATAAATGTTATGCATCAAACACAATGAAATTCCTCTGCCTTCTAACTTTACCTACTTAATATTCTTGGTTGCTAATAGATGACGTTTTTATCCTTTGCTTAGCAAATTTAAAGAAAATCTGAATTGCACTCATGTTATTCAGAGACAAAGTAAAGACCATTATAAGGCACACACATTATAGCCAGTGCAAGACATTAAGTTATACTAGCAACAATGTCAAACAGTCAAAGTGGATACACTTCACCCTTCAGCTATTTAATATAAGCTTAGTATAAAGCAGTCAGACAGCTATATAGCCTCGCCCTTTTAAGTTTTGCCTAAATTTGCCCTTTCTTTACCAAAATTATCCAATTCTAGTAAAACAACACAAGCCAAAACCAAAATAACCACCAGGCTTTTTTTTCCTGCTAAATAATGAATTCCCCCTTAAGAAAATAAACCACAAAAACAGACATCACAAAACTCTTACATGATATCATATATAATCTCCATTACCTCTCAATCTGCCTTGTGACTAGTAATCTTCTGAAAAAGCTATGGCAGCACTCAACCAACCTTAATTTCCATCAAGGTTAGTTTATGCAAGAGCCACCTACACATCCCTTTCTGCAATATCACAGTATCAATGGAAGCCTGGTCTAAGACCATTATCTTCAAGACAGTCTTTATCATTCAAAATGTCCAATGATTCCAGAGTATAATAAAGCAAGATGATCTACCCTAGTAAGGAGCCTACAGTTTCAAAACATGATTGACATGCAGCCAGAAATGTAACTGATTTCAGATCAGAAAGAGAATCCAAGAAAATATACAGAAACATATTTGGTCTCTTAACCCATACAAAGTGGCCTTGAGTAGACATGAGTGAGGACTTGCAGCTTTCCAGGATTACCTTTCCTAAGGTTGGTTTTCATCAGATGGCCAGAGTGTTTTAAAGGCACTCCCTGCATTTTTGCACCTGTACTCCCAAGCCTTCCTCTTCCTAGCGGGCTCCCGTTCTGTTCCAGGCGGGCAATCTTGGCTGGTGGACCCTTCGGATCGCTCACATTGTTAGACATTTCTGAATGGTCTTTCCCCTGAGTTGCCTCGTTCAAATGATCCATACTCAGTTACCCTCTAAAGATCACCTGCCGGGATTGAAAAAGAAGACAAGTTATAATTGGGTGGGCGCGTATGTATATCCCATATAAATGGTTTGCTCCTAGTTATCACTCTCTACAAATAGAACAAAATTTTAAATTTGCTTACCTAGAAATATAATGCAGATGCTATCATATTTCTAGATAGCAGCATTACATCTTCATTCAAATGAACAGAATAATTTGGGGAAATTGTATCAACACATATGAGTAAAAAGGTAATTTGTCACCTACAAACAAAACTAAGTGGGGGAAAATGGGCTTACTTTAAATTAAAAAAAAAAAAAAGAATTACTACAGGGATAGCTAAAAAAGAAAATAACCAACTGCATTTATGTAATCTCAACTTTAAAATTAAAAACTCATTATAGGATATAATGGCATTTTAATCAACAATGGTAAGATGACAACAGTCTAAAGTATTAATTAAGTCTAATGTATGCATTTATATTTTTATATGTTTTAGTTTGTATGAGAAAAAAATATATATATACCATCACTTAGGAAGGCAGCAGATATATACCTGCTTTTTAAATTCCCCATTCACTTTTCAGATTAATTTATAGAGAAAGTTTTCCACTATCAAAGTTCCAAGAGTTCTATGACCTGATAAAGATTTAGTCAAGTTTTGGGTCAAATATATGATAGGATCATTATAAACAAATAGGAAAACGTAGAGTTCCTACAAATATCTTAGGCACAAACCATTACAATGCATATATTTTATAGCAAAAATTAGATGTTCATTAGTAATTGAATGCTGCCACCAACTTAAATTGCAAAAATATTTTAAAACACTTTATAATATATACATTAAGTTCAAGTGCTAAACTTTTTTATTGGGAATATTGATGATACTGGTAAAACACAGCCTCCAGTTTTGAAAAATAATCTGAGTGGAATGAAGTCAACATCTTTTTCAGAAAAATATTAACAGATGATTCTTTTCAGTTATATACTAGACATAAATTTTCATACCATTCATAATAAAGCAATTATTACATTTACCAAACTCACTTTCAAAATAGTTTTAACTAGAGTTGGTAGAACAGGTGAGTAGAATTATTTTATGAGCTCTTGTGTTACCTGAAGTATGGAGTTTAAAAATACTATATACGCAAGCTAGAAAGAATATAAAAATTGCCATTTTCCTGCAGCTGTCTACCAATTTGACATATCTTGTACTTAAAAAAATTATTATAATGAAAGTATTTAAATTTGAATTTGCTGACAGTTTCATTACAATGGCCTTTCCTAAATACTTTCTTTGCTTAACTATATGCTACTCTGACTCATATTACCAAGAAAAGGAGCAAATGGGGGGACATTGTTAATTTGGCGGTTTAAAAGTAGCTTTAAGAACTCCAACTGAAGGACTATAAAGTTTGGGAAATAATAGCTATTTATCCCTGTGTTCCAGGGTGGCACACTAAGAATTAAAGGTTTATCATTGATAGAGGTCCCATCTGTTTTTGGTTATGAGGTTCATTAACAATAAATGTGCTTCTTTTAACCACTTTTTATCAAGATTACTCTTATCCATATTAAACTCCAGTCTAAAGCCAAAATTAGAGAGCGATAATATTAACCTATTGAAAACACTCTATATAGTATTTCTTGTGGCGTATAATACAGAGCTGCTTTTTCTGAAATTGGTTGCTTTACCCTAGAGCAGAAGATGAATTTTAAAACATATTATTTGAAAAGAAAAATCCTAACCCTTAGGGCAATTATAAGGGGGGGGGCGGGGTAAGTAGACCACAGCAGCAGAGTTAATGCTACATAACTTATTAAGTAGCCATGAGGTTTAACAAAACTATAAACTGTACAGCAAATGAAAGTGAGAGATTATAATTTAACATATTGACTATCTAAACATCATATAGGTCATACAAAATTGTCCTTCCAATATCAACCTATAAACACTCAACCACTTAGTAAAAAGCTTTACATTACAAAGCAAAATTACATGCACATGAAACACCTAATTTACTCATTTAAACTCTATGCCCAAGGCTAAAGTTCACCAAACCTCAGTTTGGAGATGCAAAGAGCAGCCTCTTAACAGGCCTGCGTGGACGCCTGGAAGCAGAAAGTAACTATAGTCTCAACAGATGCCAAGCTGAAGAGTTTCTTTTGAGTTATCCATTTAAAAACTCATTTTAGTATGTCAGGTTGGCACACAGAAATCGAGCCACTTTCTCAAAATTCCATTTCCCTGCCCATAAACTAAGTCCACATATGAAAACTACTGAATAAAACAGGGAACTCAGTCATAGCAATTATTTCCTTAAAGAAAGAAAGAAAAGAACGAAATTCCGGTTTTGAGAACCTTTTTTTTTTTTTTTTTTTCAATATGGGATCCTTTTCAATGAGTTTCTAGCTGGATAACCTCCCTTGCCCCAACACAACTCCACAATCACATTTTAGAGATTGTGCCCTTATCCATTCCATATGGCCGGTACGATCCAGGCCAAGCTTTCACTGTGACCTTTTAAAGAGACAAAGAAGCAAAGTACTACCTAGAAACAGAAACACTGCAGTTTTACAGAGTGAAATTAGCAAAACCGACCTGAAACTCACCACTTCAAAACTTGACAGCATATAAATAACAAAAACAAAGGAGATTTCCTTTACAGCTCGGGTTCTTGAAGAGGAGTTCAAGACTGATGTTTTCTATGGCCTTTTTTTTTTTTAATTAAAAAAAAAAAAAAAAAAGCAGCAGACCTGAAGGCGACTTCCCCTGAAATTATATTATTTTCTCTCCCCCTACCCCCGCCCCCTAAGCGGGGGATGGGCAGAAATAAATGTCTAGAAGAGTAGCCATGGGAGGGGAGGGGGTAAAAATATTTACAACTCGAAAAATAACATATAAGGTTTGTAAAACACCTAAGCTGGGAAAACGGGATTTTCAATGGGGGAGGCGGGGAGAGTGGGAAGTAGCGAGGAGGGTAAAGATAAAATTGATCTGACAAGTGATTCGTTGGGGGGGGGGGGTTAATCGTAAAAACAAAGCAAAACCCCTTATGAGCTGTACACTGTGGTGGTGCTGGGGAACGAGGTGGTGACTGAGGAATTCTCTTAAAAAGAAAAACAAAAATCACTGCGGGCAAGGTCTCCAAAAAGGAAAAAACCCGAAAAGATCTCGGTTCCCTCCCTGCCTCTTGCTCGCTCAGGTTCTCTGGTGTGAGGACAGAAAGTCTACTTCTGGCTGTCACTTGCAATATTATTCTCCAATAACCCCGGAGAACGCAGGGAGGGAAAGGCCACCACGGCCTCCCTCCCTCTGAACGCCCCCACCTCCTCCCCAACAATTACGACTGATATTAACAATTGTTAAACTTTCTTCCTACAGCCTCGCACCCCCAACTAGGGCATCTACCGGGGGACAACGCGGGTGGGGGGTAGAGGGTCGCAAAAAAAACACCGGAAAGGCACTAAAATGCCACTTTTGATTCCGCTCTTGCTGACAACAGCCCCGAGGACCCTCTCTCTGCCCATTGACGCGGGGCTGTGGTGCGTCTGGGATGCAGAATTAGGGAAGGAGAAAAAAAGGTTGGGGGCGGGGGGGAGAGGAAGAGAATCAGAAGGCAACCCCAGCCACCTCCACCGCCTCAGTAGCAACAAACTCCCTGCTCCCCTCCCCCCCAAAAGTCGCCAAGCCTCACTCAGCCAGAGTCCGAGGTAAACAACGAGTACCACAATGGCACTAGGACTTGGGGAAAAAAAGGAAACCCAGAAACCCCAACAAAACTGATCAGGAGTTTCCTGAAATGAAAGAGGGTGGGTGGGAAGCGTCCTCTGGAGTCGCTCTGGCTTTATGCTCGGTCCCCGGGCAGGCTAGAGGGCGGCTGTTGCTGTTGTTGTGAGGAGGCCGGTTGTTGCTGGGTGGCACAGGGAGAGGTGTGTGTGTGTTTGTGTGTGTGCGTGTGTGTGAGTGCGAGTCCCCGGACGGGGCTGTTTCTCGCTCGCTCACTCGCTCTCTCCCTCGCTGTTGTCTCTGCCCCCATTAAATTATTAGTTGACTCATCCCGGCCGCTGTCGCCACCGCCGCCGTGCCCAGTTCAGCTCCGCGCGTCCGCCCGGGCTGCAGCCCTCTACGCCGCTGCTCCTGCTGCCGCTGCTGCCGCTGCTGCTGCCGCCGCCGCTGTGGCTGCCTCTTCTTCCTCCTCCTCATTTTAATACAAAATCACCCCGCTCGCAGCCCCAGCCCCTAGCACGCAGCCTCCTCCCGGCCGCCCGCCGCCGCCCCGAGCCCTTCCCCAGCGGGGCCGGCTCATCCGCCGCGTCCGGGGAGCGCGAGCGAG